AGTTTGTTTGAGCTGCTCTTCATTACGCGCCAGGTCTCTGATTTTTTAACTGGTATGAATCCGTGGTCAAACTCGTGAAAACAAATCTAATCCTTACAAATTAACTATTGGAAATTAATTTTTTATGTTAATTATTTAGGCGATTTTGTCTTGTTTCCTTATCTTGTATTCATTTATCTACTGAAAAGATATTTTTTAAAAATTAGTTACAATATTCAATTAGCAGTGTGACTTTGTTTTCATCAGCTTTACAGTCTTATAATCCCTTAGTTATGACTAATTACCAGGTTCCTCCAGATGAGAAAATATGATGATACTTTTTTGATTTCATCACAGTGACGCAGTTTAATTTAATCTGTCCAGTTTTCAACAGTAATCTAACACTGCGTCCAACTGTCTTCTATCTCATTCACTTAATTCTACTAAATCAAGTGCTACCATGTGTAGCTGTGGTACACTGTAGTCTGGCAATTGGATCACAGGTTGGGAGTTAGCTTCATCTGCCTAGGTTTTTGTAGACTGATAATATGACTACCACTCATATGATAGATGTCAGCTCATCATCAGGAGCAGTATGGAAATGTAAGTGGTTATTGAGAAACATAAAAACACCACTGTTTTGCCGTATTTCAGTAATTTGTATAACATATGCAAAATCTCCGTATCTATTTCTTCCAAAAATGTAGAGCATATATTTTTACTGAGTTTTAGATTTTCCCGTCGATTGATTGGACCGAAGTGCTCGGTCTCAGGTTGAAATATCGGCTTCTAGTGTAGATGCTTCTACGATGTCTGGGCATTTAATTAGTATTTAATTGGTGGGTGGTGGCTAGCAGTGGAATCCAGGATGTGCATTTCGTCCTGTTTTGAGACTCGTCATCTGGATGTACCTGCATTTCTCAGTCTCCCAACCTGAGATTGAGCACTTCAGTCCAATCACTCGACGGGAAAATCTAAAATTCAATTAAATAATTAATATGACCCGTTGCACAAGAGGTGGTTCTCGTGGCCCAACTGGTCTAGTGCATAACGCTTTGGAGGTTGAAACTATGGGCACCGGGTTCGAGCCTCGGTGGGAACATTATCAATCACTGGGGAATGAAGGTGCGTCCAGCCGACGAGTCCCAAATAGGACGAAATGCGCATGTTGGATTCCAGTGCTAGTTACCATCTACCAATTAAATACTAATTAAATGTATGGTATATAGTTGTACGATTCTGCTAGAATTTAAGAATTTGGTAGTCTAAATGTCTCTATAGTATAATCAGGACAAGAAAGTTTACTAAGCCAACAAATGTTTTCGATAACTTCTTCTCGCTCTACACTTGTGAATCCATGAATATTAGAATACAAATAGACAGTAAACGAAAATGATGAAAATTATATCAGAAACTATAATAAGATGCACAAGTATATGAGTGGCATCCAGTTGATTAAGATAAAATTTGAAAAGATAATTAAGTAAAAGATGTAAGTTTCAAAGCGGGAGGTCTCAGTTATGAGGAGAAATTTCGAATACTTATCAAATGTTGGTTTGCAAGCAATTAACTGCTTGCAGGATTGGCCACAAGCTGACATTAGTTAGAGAACTATTGGAAGACCAACTGGGAGTACTGGATAGCTGTTTCACCCTAGTTTGAGAATCTTCCTCAGTACGTACCGGTTGGGATTCGAACAAAGGACCTTCCGGTTACAAGGTAAGTTCGTAGACCATTAGAGACACTGGGACCCGATCCAACGGTCCACGAATTGCAACTTCTGTCAAGTCAGGTAAGAGAATAGTAATTCATCTATGACAATGACTGGTGGCTGTGCTGTACATATCTGGAATCGGCAGAATTTGGAAATCATTGGTCCCAGTGGATCCAATTTCAGTGGCTAAATGGTTCACGAGCCCACTACTTAACCGGAAGGTCCTGGGCTCTAGCCCCAGTGGGTGTGTACTACCGAAAAGTTCCAAACTTCCAGTTGGTTTTCCAATGTTTCTCTAACTGATATCCACCAATGACCAAACCTGCAGCCAATCAAATCTCTGGAAAGCGGTACTTGATAATTATAACTATTAGCATTATTTCTTAATCCGACCAACTGTTTATTCTCTTTGTCTGCCACATAACATATTCGGATACTTGACTTTATGCTGTTTCTATTATCACCCAACTCATTCTTTTCACTCCATTATGGATAAGATTTTATTTTGATAAATCACACAGTGTTGTTATACAGTAATATTAACTGATGACGTTTTGAGCACAAACTATTGCCACTCATAATCATATCAAGTTACTCACACAACATTTTCCTTCATTTATATACATGAGTGGAATTGATGATTAGACATTTGAATAAAAATCAATATAGGATAATGTACACTCAGAGATAATAATATGAGTGTTATTGATCAATTACAATCAGATGGGAAATAAGACGAATGTTTTTATCGTCAAAATAAGTAACTTGTTAGAATGTTGTGATGTGCTTGAATTGAAATAGAATTTTGAGATTATTTATTATCCTCCTCTGATTTGACTGGTGGTAATAATATCTTCCATATTTCTGGTATTTTCATTGAGTCATTTGTGTTGCATGTGTTGGGTGTAGACTCAATGAACCGGGCAGGATTCAGTAATCAACCTCTCTCTCCACCCACCTAGATTACTTCTTAGAATCTTAACCCTCTCCCACCATGCTATTGTGTGGTTGTGTGTTAATGCATGTAGTGCAGTTGCTGAGCTTTTTTCTAAATAACTCATCTTCTCGGGGTCAACCATTCTTACCTTGGCTAAATTCTTATGTTCCGACAATTTGACTACCCCCGACCTACTAGTTTGACCTATGTAGTTGACCTAACTCACAGTCATTGCAAGGTATTTTGTAAATTATATTATTTTGTTTAATTGGGTCCACCGGGTCTTTTAGCCTACAGAGCTTGTCCTACCTGAGTGAATTTGTAGGTTTGAATGCCACCCTAATTCCTGCTTTATTCAGAATCCTACGTGGAGGGGGTCTCAGATGTCCCCTCCTTATATGGTATAACAGTAGATGACTTATATTCTCTCTTATTTGTATTATCATTACTAGTTTCGTAATTATTTTTATTTGGCTTTTGGCCTTTTTCAATCTTCCTAATGAATTTTATGGGATAGTTATTTAACACCAACGCCTCTTCTATCTGTTTTATTTCATCATTTAGGTCTTTTCTTGTGCTACTTAGAGCTACTGCTCGGTTTGTTAAACACTTAACTAAGCCTGACTTCCCAGACAGATAACGGATGAGATGAATTAAAGTTTAAATATCTATTAGAATGCGTTGGTTTTTTATAAACGCTAGTGTGTAGTTTACCTTCTTCTATTCGCTTTATTTCACAATCTAACATAGATACTTCTCCTTGATTTTTATTCAAATATCTAGTCAATTCCATGCATATATATAAATGAAGGGAAAAAAGTTGTGTGAGTGAATAGCTTGATATGATTATGAGTGGCAATAGTTTGTGCTCGAAACGTCATCAGTTAATATTACTCACTGTGTAACACTGTGTGATTTATCAAAATAAAATCTTATCCCTAATGGAGTTAAACTCTGCCACCACAGTGCCCAAGTTTTATACGTATATCTTTTTTTTAAACAGTGTGTTTCTTTTCTCTCTCATATTTCGCAATCTCTATATTCTTAGCTGAGTAACTTTCAAATCCTTAGTTTCACTGTGATCAATCTTCACTAATCCAAAATAATTTGAAAATGTGAACAATATTCCAACGTGAGTTTTCGTTATTTCGCTTGACAGAGTGAGTGACTGTACAAACACACACACACACACTCACACGCAAATTTTAATTATACATAATTGCTACCGTGTAGCTAAGTGGATGAAATATTGTCAGAAAAGAGTCTTTCCTCCAATGAATTAATTTGCTCTGATTTCAAAGTGTCTCAAAATATGATGAACTAATCATCCAAAGTTTTACTTGGCTTATGAAATTTCTGACAAAGATTAATTGGATGAATATGCAAAAACGTTTCATAGTATCAATATTTTTTAAAATAAAAAATAATAACAAAGACTACTACTGATCACTGCTTTGAGTAATATTCAAATTTTCAAGTATTGGGTTTGTAGGGATTTTGTTTGATTCATTGGTTGGAGGATTTCATCATGAGCTGGCATCAGTTAGAGAACCACTGGAAAACCAGCTGGGAGTACTGGACAGCTATTTTGTCATGGTTTGGGACTCTTAAGCAGCACGCACTGCTCACTGGTGACTGGCCCTATTCAGACAGCTAACCTGGGGTGGGAAGCCGTGACCAGTAGGGTACAGCAAGTTGAAGATGAGGCGGTAACTCATTGAAGAAGACATTGCGAAATGGTCACGCTATGTCGTCAATTGGCAGAATTTAGAATTCATGAGCTGGCCATTAGATCGGATCCCAGTGGCTCGATGTTCTACATGGTTGCCTTGAAACCAGAAGGTCCTGGGTTCGAACCTCCGTGAGTGGGTGCTGCTGAAGAGTCCCAAACTAGGACGAAATAGTTGTCCAGTACTCCCTGGCAGGTTTTCGAGTGGTTCTCTAACTGATGTCAGCTCATGATGAAACCCTCGATGTAATATTCAAATGCCTGAGATGTACATGGGGATGTGATTGCTAGACAGTACTAGGATACCAAAACAAACTGTGTTTTGAGAAGAATATAGGGCCTCAAGTTTTTTCAAATTTTGCTACCAATGGTGTTTTTTATTTTCACGGAATAGGTTACAAGCCGCATATCCACCAACATTCTTTTACAGGCGTACTAGCAGATGAGTGAAATTTAAGAGTGTGTCACCCAGGAATCGAGACAGGGATTTATCGTATGAGAGTTGAGGTTGCGTCCCCACTTTAAAGGAAGTAATGTATCATATTTAATTATTCAGAAACTGGTTAAATACGTTAAGAAGTATGAGAAAGTCAATACATATATTTATATAATCAATGAGAGAGTATTTGAAAATAATACAGTATCAGAGCAACGGTTATTGAAATTTAAAAATGAACATAAATGACTAGAAGTTTCAACTACGAGCGATGGCACAGATGACGGCGTCAAAGGAAGACTTGTTGAGGCAAGACAGATCGTCATCACTCTGAAATCCCGAAAATCAGTTTCAACAGGTCACTTTAGACTCTTATCAACAGCTGCCCACTTCGCTTTATATTAAAGATCAAATGGCCAGGAAGAATTGGCATTAAGAAACTCTGAGAATGAACCACCTGACAACCTATTGCTCAACAAATCCAAATCCCGAAGGAAATAGAAACGGATTGGACACACGCTGAGGATTAGCTGTCGAGTAGCATCGTGCGCCAGATTTCAAATGGAAAATGACGACTGAGTGACGTGGAGGAGATGATGTAAGGAAGAGATGAGAGACTATGGACAATTGTGGAGCCAGATAAAGAGGCAAAAAGTGGAGATGTCCTGCTGAAGCTCTCCCTGCATTCCACTCGGAAACCATGGGAAGTAAACTACTCAGCATTAAAAGGTGTTTATTAAGTGTAATACGCATAATTTATTATCAAAGAGTAGGTTAAATTAAAGTATAACAACTTACTTTCAAGCCTTTTGCACGATTAATTGCTCTCAATGGACGTAAGACACGTGAAACACGCAGAATTTTCACCACAGATATTGTATCAATACTAAAATAGTAATTGTAGACAACAAGAATAAAATAGAATATCGTAAAAAAAAGGTCGAAGAAAGTACTTAGCCATTTGATACATTTACGCGCTTGTATAAAATCTGATGAACAACATCTTGTATGGAAATGATCAACAACATCGAATGCGGAAAAAAAGAATACAACACATCGTTATTACAAAAATTCAGTTGACAGAAATTCTTGCACTTGCGTTTCGCACTTATCGGCACTTGTCAGCAAAGCGTATTATCTATTCATACAGGTTCTTATGCAAGTCACGTAGAGAAATGTAATCACTATATGACTATAGTAGAATCAACCAATCGAAGAGATAATGTAAGTGTAGAACTTGGGCACTGCTTGCGGTAGAACCTAATTCCATATTAAATATAAGTTTATTTTAATTATCACACAGTGATTCAGTATTAACAATTGGACGACAAGGTTTCGAGCATAATTTCTTGCCACTCATAATGATATCAATTTAGTCACACGTTGTCACGATTTGTCTGATATATTTTTTCTCTCTTTCTGTCTCTCTAACTTGCCTTTGTTGTTTGTTGCCACTTTCCATATCTCCGGCATGGGCGTTGCGTCGCGCCAATCCGATTGCACGTGTGAGGGGTTGACTCGATAACCAAAGTTTCTGTGAATAACCTCTCTGTCTCTCCACCTAACTATATTACTTTTTAATACTCTCGCTCTGTCCAACCCATCCTATTTTGTTGAATTTAGGAATCGACTTGTTACCAGGGAACAGTCTTATGGACTTAGGATATGCAGATGACATAGTCCTGTTAGGGGAGGACGCTGACAAAATGCAGAGTCTTCTGAACACCTTGAGAAGCAATCTTCGTATGTTTGCCATGCGATTCGCCCCTGTAAAATGTAAGATGCTGCTACAGGCCTGGACTACGTCAACTCCTAGCTTAGTGTTAGGGAGTGAAGTGATAGAACATGTTAAACACTTCACCTATTTGGGAAGTTGTATCAGCACCAACGGACTGATTGGTGACGAAATCTCAGAACGGATCCAAAAAGCTCGAGCAGCTTTCGCTAACTTACACCGTCTCTGGTGTAGGCGTGACATCTGACTATCAGCCAAGGGACGTGTGTACTGCTCATCAGTTCGCTCCGTCCTTATCTATGGCTCTGAAACATGGTCAATACGAGTTGAAGACATGAAAAGGTTGACTGTTTTTGATCATAGATGTCTACGATCTCTTTCTCACGTTAGGTGGTATAATAAGGTAAGTAACGTTGACGTAAGGCGTAGTGTTGGGCAAAGAGGGAAAGTCAGTCTACGAGGCTATAAAGTTACATAGATTGAGATGGCTAGGTCACGTGCTTCACATGCCTAGCCATCGGCTCCCCCGACGGGCATCACTAGCTGATATAGGTGCAGGTTGGAAAAGAGTGAGTGGTGGCCAAACAAAAACATGGCCTCATCAATCCATGACATCAATCCTTGACAGTTAAACTGAGTCAGGTAGGGAGATGCAGACTTCCGGGTTGGGGCCCGCCCTCGGGACTCTAAGAATCAATGGCTGGAGACAATAGGTGACATGGCTCAAAATCGTTGTCAATGACTTACGCAGATGTTTTCAGTCTCTGTAATCTTTCATATTCCTTTCTACCATTACTCATTCTGTTTCACTCTTATACTTCTCAAAACTCTATTGATTCTCTTCACTCATTTTCCTGTCTACGTTTGTGTGCTATTTAGAACGTGGCAAATCGAACTGTTGCACTTCGGTGCCAAGTTCTATGTTGAATCCAGACAGAGACATCCTATTTTGTGATTACATGCAAATGAATGCAGTACTATGGCTGAGCTCTGTTTTTTCTAGGTTACTTAGAAGGGTCAATTATTCTAGGTCTAGCTAAATTTTTATCTGTCAATAATCTAGTTGACCCTGATCTACTAGTTTGACAGCCTATGTAATTGACCCCATTCACATTCATTACATGTTATTTGATAAATTATATTATTTTGCCTAATTGGATCTATTGGATCCTTCAACCAACAAAGTTTATCTCTGAGAGAGTTGGTTGGATGGTTGGTTGGTTTAAATGCCACCCTAATTCCAGTGTCACTGCGAATTCTACTTAAGGCCTCTGACGTCCTCTTTTTATACTACAGTGCTACAGTGTTACATGCAGTCGGTATGATGCAACGCAAAGCAACGTCTATACCGGAGATATGGAAAGTGGCAACACACAACAAAGGCAAGTTGGACAGACAGAAAGAGAGAAAAAATATATAAGACTAATTGTGGCGTATGACTAAATTGATATGATTATGAGTGGCAATAATTTATGCTCGAAACCTTTTCATGCATTTGTTAATACTGCAACATCCGCTGTGTGATAATAAAAACAAGCTTAACTAATATAGAATTCAAGAGTTACTCATAAAATGTCAAGAAGTAACTAAATGTTTCACAAAGTATATAAAGCATCATAAATAGGGAAAGTTATCTAAGGGTTAGCAAAAGCTGAAATGTAGTATTCTTTGTATGGAGGGGAATGACATGCATATTAATGTGAAAGGTATGCATTTTATTACTTATAGAATCCTTTTAAAGTCATTGCTCTAACTTTTTACAATTTACAATTATACTACGAGGGACATACATTTACAGAACTCAATCTTCTCATGGAAATATGAAAGCAAAAGGCTTGATGATGTAGGAAAATACATGAACACTCTTTATTTTATTTTGTTATAGCTTGATTCCGCACAGTATTTTGGTGCAAGTAGGGAATTTTCAGTATGTGATATCGGTAGCCCAAATTTAACAAGCCAACCATTTGATATCAGGTATACGTTAGCCGGGAATTGAACCCCGGACCATGTACATGGTCGGCGAGCATCCTATCCGCTGTGCCACCGATGCACATTCTTCACTAGGACTTGTTGATGTGACGAAAAAATCACTTTCGTTTATGAGAATGTAAACATATACCGGGACAGATTATGTATATCTAAATGTATCTAGGTTTCACCACGGATTGATAAAAGTTAGACAAGCATTGGATAAACAGGCAGTACTCAACAACTTTCGTCCTAGTTTGGGACTCATCGACCGCATGCAACCACCACAGAAGTTCAAACGCAGAAGCTTCCAGCCACTGATGGTCGACTCACTGGCAATCCCATGAATTCTAACTACCATTAATTTTATGATTTCAGTACAACCACCAGCCGAAGTCATCTGCGAGTATTAGTCTTCACACCAACATTTCTCATTGTGAAACTATTTGTTCCATATTAGTTTGTTTAATAGATATATCACATAGTGAAATAGTATTATTTACTGGATGACGTTTTGAACAAAATTTATTCATTTTCATAATCATATCAATTGTAATCACACGACTTTGAAACTTGGGTTTTATAGTTTACTTTGTTCTCTCCTATTTGTCGTCGTTGGGGTAGTAGAAGTTTCCAGATATCTGGGACAGGTGATGAATCATTCCTATTACATGCATTTGCAGTTGATTCGATAAACAAAGCTTCTGTTATCAATCTCTCCCTCCACCCTGTGACATTAGATTTAAAAACTGTCATCTTATCACATCCATCCTATTGTATGGTTGTGTGTAACTGCACGTAGTGCTATGGCCGAACTATTCTCTAGATTTCTTATCCTATTCGGGTCAACCAATCTAGATTTTGCTAAGATTTTATGTTCAGCTAGTCTGACTGCCCCTGTTCTACTAGTTTGACCTATGTATTTGACCTGACAATCATTCCTTTAACCGACAAGGCTTGTTCCTAATTGAATTTGTGGGTTTAAATGCCAGCCACTTTTATTCCTGCTTTGTTAAGAATTCGGCGTTAGGCTTCCGAGGTTCTTTCCTTGTATGGAATTACTACTGATAATTTAGATTCCTTATTGTTGGTGTCGTCATTAATATTATTATTATTGTTATTATCACTATCGCTACTATTATTATTAATTTTATTTTTACATTTCCTTACATATTTCCTGACTAATTTATCCGGGTAATTATTAAGTTTCAGGGCTTCTTTTATGTGTATCAGTTCCTGCAGTTACACACAACCATACAATAGGATGGATGTGATAAGATGACAGTTTTTAAATCTAATGTCACAGGGTGGAGGGAGGGAGAGATTGATAACAGAAGCTTTGTTTATCGAATCAACTGCAAATATGTGTAATAGGAATGATTCATCACCTGTCCACCCAGATATCTGGAAAATTCTACTACCTCTACGACAAATAGAAGAAGAGAGAACAAAGAAAACTATAAAACTCAAGTTTCGAAGTCGTGTGATCACAATTGATGGTATGATTATGAATAGCAATAAATTGTGTTCGAAACATTGTCATCCAGTAAATAATACTGTTTCACAGTCTGTGTGATATATCTAATAAACAAACTAATATGGAATTACTTACTACCACATCACAGTGCTCAAGTTATACACATATATATTAAAACTATTTGTTGTCTACTAACTAGTAAAAAACGAAGCAAAAACTGAACACTAACTAGTCTACTTTATACAACTGCAATTCAAATGTACACTAGATACAGGCAGGTGATGCGGACAATCTAGATTAATCACATACATCTGAGTATTATGTATGCAGAAAACAATAGATGTCATTTATCGTTTCACTGCTATAGACTATTTGAATGGCTATTATAATAGATTTCATTTTCGCTCATGTATGTATATATATATATGATTATGCTTGGGGATATTGTCATTGTAGACAAATCATGAAATGATATTATTTTATCATGAAATTTATTCAGGGGAAGGCAATAAAAGATGATTTATTATTGTAATTGATTATTATTCTTATTGTTATTATTGCCTTAGTCCACTTTTGTTGATATCATGAAAGGATGCTGATAAGGCTGTGTGAAGCATGAATATATATATATATATATATATATATATATACAAGGTGTAGACAGGAGGAGAGGAAAGCTCAATAGAGGTCTAACACAACGCATTTTTATATCGGTACTTTAGTGTCACTGGTCAGAATCATTATTGCTATCATTATTATTATTGTTTATAGATATTCCTTTGAGTCCAGAATTATTATTATTGTTCCCTTGGGTTCCTGGTGGAACATAGGGCTTCAACTGCACGTCTCCACTTGCTTCTGTCTTCTGCTGTACTTTTCACCTGCATCCATGTTAGTTCATACTGTTTCAACTCCTCTTTACACGATCTCCTCCATGTCACCCTTGAACGTCCCACTCGCCGCTTCCCTTTCGGGTTCCACTCGAGCAATGGCCTGACGCGTGATGTCACCCAACGGTCTCCTCAACGAGTGTCCAATCCATCTCCACTTTCTCCTGCATATTTGTTGGGTGATTGGTTCTTCGTCCAACTAATGGGCAATCATAGAGTCAGATAACGGGGACTTCGGAGAACAGAGTGAAATGGAGATGTGCTGTTGATTTTCTCTGTTCCATTAACCTCACCTTGATTACTAGCTCTCTAGTTTTCTAGCCGGTCTCAAGCCGGGATAGAGAGGGAGGGTTGGGGCGTGGTGCTAGCAACTCCACCATCAAAACTTAACCAAATTGCTACAGAAACTTCAGAGCATAAATATATTAAAAATATCAACAATAACCTTATTTTTCGCTGGAATCGGGGGAGTGAATTGACGCAGGCTGGTGAAAGCCTTCGGGAAGCCAATTAGCCGATGTGCCTTCTTTCGATGAAAGCAAAAATAAGGATGGGGACGTGGAATGTTCGTACAATGTACGAAGCTGGAAAGGCTGCCCAGGTAGCCGCAGAAATGAGGAGATATAAAATAGAAGTGTTGGGAATCTGCGAGAGCAGATGGAACGGATGTGAAAGGTGCCAACTACCAACTGGAGAGACAATAATCTACTCCGGTCACCCAGAGGACGACCAAGAGAACACGGAGGGAGTAGCCATCATGATGTAACCAACAGCAGCCAAAGCTCTCATGCAGTGGGAACCAATCTCCTTCAGGATAATGACAGCTAGGTTCAACTCAAAAGGAAAAAAGGTTACAATCATTCAGTGCTATGCGCCAACAAACGTCTCAGAACAAGAGAAGAAGGAGGATTTCTATAGACAACTACAAACAGTAATGAACAACGTCCCAAATGGCGATATCAGAATCCTGATGGGTGATATGAATGCGAAACTGAGAGGAGACTATACGGGAAGAGAACTCACCATGGGTCGTGAGGCCCTCGGTGAAATGAACGACAATGGTGAACTCTTCTCATACTTCTGCACATTCAATGATTTGGTGATTAGTGGCAGTGTGTTCAAACACAAGGATATACACAAGGCGACATGGATTTCACCAGTTGAGTTCAGAATGGAACAAAGAAAATCAATAGCACATCTCCATTTCACTATGTTCTCAGAAGTCCTCGTTATCTGACTCTATGATTGTCCATTAGCTCTATTCTCCTTCTCATATGATCTCCTCAGTGTTAGTCTTGGCTACTCGCCCAACTTGTCTTTTCTCTTTAGGGTTGCAGTTGACAGCCTGGAGTGTGATTTCACTAAACGCTTTTTACAGTGTATGCCTGTGTGTGTGTGTCCAACACATCTTCATTTCCGTCTGCACATTTATTTTACGATGGTCTGGTGATTAGTTTACTGCCAGAGTTCCGTGTTCCTTGATTATCCTTTCTGACCATCCATCTAATCTTCAGTATCGAGTTACGCATTCAGCAGGTTTCAACGCTAATTTCAGAATAATGAAGGCCTATCCTGCCTTTCTGATTGTGTTTGGCTTCGACATCCTCATCTCTGCCACCTAGTGTGGAAACCACATTGTCTACGTAAAAGAAAGACGTGTCTTCCTTCAGATTTCCTCCGTTGATGGTGATTGATGAATGTTGTGGTTGTTGGATGTTGGATATCTCCATCACCTTGTTTTGTCTATGTTCAACTGACGTCCTGTGTTGGCTGCTTCTTCTGCCTGTAGACCTTCGACCTTGTGTGGCATTAAGCCCCGACCAAAAGCTGCTACCTTGACGTGGTGGTCGGACTTGAACACAGCAATGACCCAGCAAGCTATACTGGCTGGAACTTATGTTCCTGTAGGTCCTACCATGCCAGAAAGGTTGTTTGGATAGCGGTTAGACAAAAAGCAGTTACCCAACCCAATGCTATGACTCAAAGTAAATCACAAAATATCATACCGGATCGGTCGGGGCCCGGATTAACAACGACCACGCTTTCTGCTGCCGTGTCACAGGGCAGAAGTGATAAATATGCTACTGAGACACACCAATTGAAAAACAACAAACAAAAACAGGCCGTGTGTGACCGGCCTCAAGCAGTTGTCCCCTGGGCTCTGCGGTCATGCAACCAACTTCAACGGTGTGGGCAGCCGGGAAGTAACAATCGTCCTCACAGTCCGAAGTGCACGCGAAACCTCTCTAATCCTCACTCATCTTTGTGTTCATCTTCATCTCTATTATCTTGCCTTCCTTCTACTAATGCAACTCCTCTACTTGATGGCTCTTCACTTCCTCTTCACTTTGTGTGCACTGAAAACGACGGAAGCCAAAAAACCACCACCGATAGTCTGTGTTGAATCCAGCCAGCAGCACTAAGCACAAATCATCTGCGAAGCCTACATTACCCAGTATCCTTCCGCTTCAGACTACCTGTAGTTTGATCTAGTCGATGGCAATCAGGAATACCATCACTGGTAGTAGACAGCCTTGTCTTACTCATGTCTTCACTTCAAAGACTTTATTGAGCTTTCTGTTTTGAAGCTAATCGGAATCATACCTTCTAAAATCTTTACCTACACTACTGCCAACTTATTAAACAGACTTAGTGGTCTACATTAACCTGTACACACACACATACACACAAACACATGTGTGCGTCGATGGCACAGTGGTTAGGACTCTCGCCGACCATGCACATGGTCCGGGGTTCGATCCCCTGCCGGCGCACACCCGATATCTATGGTCGGCCTGTAAATTGGGCTACCGATATCCATGCTGCAAATTCCATACTTGTACTGAAAATACAGTGTGGAATCAAGCTGTAAACAAAATATAAAATAAATATAAAATATATGGATATCAAAAATGAGTACAACATGAAATTTAAGGCGATATAGACAACAGTTATATATATATATATGTGTACAGATTTTTATATTAAGATAGATAACAACACTTATTTTATTCTACCATTTTTAATATTTTACCTATTTATGTTATTATACACAACACCTAATACATGACTTACTCAATTGGATAAGAGATAATCGAGGTAAGGACTACCATAAAGTCTAGCATATTATTTGCACTTCGACAAAATGCACCCTTATGTAATACCAAACCATAGGTGATTATCTAATAGAGAAGGATTATAATACAAACACACATATATATATATATAGATATTATAGCATACAGTTCAATGAAAAATCACTTATAGACAATAATGCATTAATTACAACATACTATGGAGTTAAAACGTTCTATCTCCCGCGTGAAGTGGTACAATAAGGTGAGCAATATTGAGGTTAGGCATCGGTCGAGTGCTAGATAAGGCGGGGAAATCAATCGACGAGGCTGTGAAATTACATCGACTGAGATGGTTAGGACCTGTATTACGTATGCCTAGTCATCGCCTTCCTCGACTGACAATGTTAGCTGATATAGGGTCAGGCTGGAAAAGAGCTAGCGGCGGTCAAACCAGTCATTGAAATCCACAACAGTTAGCTTAAGCCAGCCACATAGGAAGGTGTAGACTTCCTGACTGGTTGGGGTCCTCGGGACGGTAAAAACCAATGAAGGCTGGAAACAATCGGTGATATGGTTCAAAATCGTTCTCAATGGCTGGCGCAAATGCATCCACTCCTTGTGACTTATGATTTCCAATGAAACTATATTGTTCTTCATTATTATTATTCCTTTGTCTCTCACCTCTGTTTACTGTCTCTATTATGCATTTCTTCTACTTTCTTCTCTTGCTTTGTGTGCTACAAGGAGTGGCGTGTGGCGACTTGAACTGGCGCACATATGTGCAAAGTTCTATGTCGAAAACTGACCGACTGACCGATGGAGTTAAAGCATTGTTTACAAAAATGAGTTAAGTTTAGCCTGAGAATTTCTGAAGGTCAGAGGGTTCCATCATGAGCTGACATCGGTTAGAGAACCACTGGACAGCTGTTTCGTCCCAGTCTGGGACCCTTCATCGGTACGCACCTACCGGGGTGCTTGAAGTTTCTAGCATGGATGTGTGCATGTGTATATGGGTTTGTGTGAAGCAATCCAAGTCAACAGATGAAGATGCAGTTTGACACTGATGTTGTTGTTGCAGTTGTCATTTGAAATTTGTGTTGTAGGCTACCAGCCAGACTCTTAATGTGAGGTCTGATGTAGCTACTCAGCTGGTCAGGCTGAATTAGCCTTTGAAGGATGCTAACCTGGGAATAACCTACTGAAATTTGAGTGCATAAGTGAATAATCTGCGTCTACACGAATGTGATAAAGCTAAAGCAAATCTTCGCTATGGTACTATGCATACTATGGTTATCCACAGAGTTCTTCGTTGGTATTTGAGTCTCTATGTATTACGACAACATGATCTTGTGATGAGATGTGTTACAATTATCAGTTTGCTCACGAAAATTTATGCTCAAATGTGGAGAACCAGATCAGAAGAAACAGTAAAAATTGAGCCAACGCAAACCTCTGTTAGGAATCAATATCAGGTCAAGAACCAGTGAATAGCAATGAGCACAGGATGGCTGTTTCTTCCGAGTTTAGTATCCTTCAGAAGTGAGTACCGGTGACTACACTGAAGATCAAACCCAAACCTTTCAGATTACAAGGTCAGTCCATAATTCAACCTAATCAATAAATCTATCACCAAACACGTTTGTGTTATCCGAAATAAGAATAGACAACGGATGATTTAGAAACAGTCAGGCTAATGTACTACTTGAACAGAAACACAGAGATGAGGCATACAAGGCAAGCATGCAGATACTAGTCATGATATTCAGCAGATAAAAAAGTCTATCCAAGGAACTTCCAGGCAGCAGTCTCGCAAAACAAGATAGATGTGAACAAATTAAACATTTAAAATGAAAGACAGTGATACGGCTGATGGCCTTGCAACCACTTGAAGTACTTAGAAGTTAGCACCTGTATCAAATTTAGATATCACAGTGATTTAGAGTGAGATTGTTTCTTAGGTCAAGTGAAGAAATCAACTAGAAAAACACTTGTCACAATTATACCATTTAAATGTCTCAAAATAGCATGTTTAATTCGTCAATGTAAGTGAAATATGTATTAAGAAAATTCTTATTGGAAATTCAAAGAGTATTTAAGTATTTTGGCCATATTTAAAACTACTTGACGGTACAGATATATAGTGTTATGATGCTAGATCTTTTTTCACGAGGTCACTGCTTAACTACTGACCAGTGCCCACTTAACTGGTAAAGGAGAACACGCAAGAATCAGCGATAAAGCCAGGTTCCCTTATTTTGACAAAAGTGACTGTATTTATACAGAAAATAAGGTAGACTGGAAATCAACCAATCCGGTTGAGAGTTGGAATTGTGCAAGCGTCCAATCAGAAGCAAGAATAATTGCATGTCAACGACTTGTTAATAACGCGATAATAACTTGACTGAGAGATGATAATGACCTGATAATTGCATGTGTTTTGCCTCTTCCTAACATATAGCTTCTTTTAGAGTGGTCTCTGAGGTGATTTTATTAGTTGAGCCTAGTTGAGCTGAGTTGATTCAATCTGAATACATTGTTAATGAGACCGAGCTTAAACGAAGGAAACAGCCATTCTTTTTATAGATTCTTTCGGTTTGGTTAGTGCCTATGGTTCAGCGGATGAGTAGTCGTCCAGCAATTGAAAACTTTTGGTTTTCATGGGAAACTATATTGACTTCTTGCCTTAAAAGTGTACAGTTTGCAAATGATGAATTAGATGAGTACAACCCCGCTGTAGTATACTCAAAATTATTTTATCAAGTTCCCTGAAATGCTTATCTCGAAGAATAGATCCCTAAGATAGGATCGAGTCGTCTCCTGTTATATTCTACCGACTGTCTACTCCTGAATGTTCTAGCAATAAAGTGACACTGATATCAAACATTCAATCATCTTTCGTTTTCATACAATGATTCCCTTTTGTAAATTTGAACAAAGAAAGAAGAAACATTGGCGCTCAGAATAATCTGGATCCATTTTATTTCGTCGGTTCTCATCAGCTGCGTACAACCTGAATTCTTTAATAAAATAAAAAAGTGTACAATTTTAACAAACTTTTGTCCATTAGCGAGCATATTGTCAGAGCATCATAGTGAAGTAAGGCGTTTCAAATTACAAGGTGTCTAAAGTGTTACGAAATTAATTAACAGTTGTGTTGTTGGGGTGGTAACAAAAGAAAATTAGTAATAGTTACGTAATTAGATAAGAGAAGATCAAAATTTCGGTGCACATTAGGTCAGATGAGAAGTTGATGATGTAATACAGTGAGCAGAACTCAGAAGACCAAGAAAAATTATCCCTTAAGAGAGTCAAGAGAAAAATAAAGGGGGGGGGGTGAAAAAATAAGTTAACAAAATTAGAAAACAAAGAGTTACTATGAAGTGAGTAATTGAAGTCCAACAACGGACTCTTTTTGCATACATAAGTCAGGTTTCAATCGTTTTATTGCTATAGCTTCAGAAAACCTGTGAAGACTTGAGGTACTTTGTCTTTTAATTATTTTGAATGATTGCAACACATCTACTCGGTGTCCTGTGTCAATCAGATGTTTGGAGATTTAAGAGCTTTAACATTCGGTCCCTTTAACCCGAGGCTCCTTGGTACATGTTCGCAGAATCTGACGTAGGCTCCCTCTCTGTTCTTCCAATGTAACTGCTCCCGCAGATACATGTGAACTGGTATACACAGTTGGAGGTTATATGTGAGAGGTACTTGGCAATCTTTGACTGCACCAATAAACTTCTCTCTAACAAGATATATATATCTATATATGTCGTAACACTTTAGACACCTTGTAATTCGCAACGCTTTATTTCACTATGACGCTCTAACAATATGCTCGCTAATGGACAAAAGTTTGTTAAAATTGTTCACTTTTATTTTATTTTATTAAAGAATTCAGGTTGTATGCAGCTGATGAGAAGCGATGAAATAAAATGGATCCAGATTATTCCGCGCGTCAAGGTTTCTTCTTTCTTTGTTCACATCTTTTGGTTGTTTCTTCAACTACTATTTTCTTCACTCGAATAGTTATCATAAGAAAAACATGTCATCAGGAATTCCCATTTACTGATATCAATTTAACTAACCTTCAAGGTGATTTCTACCGTGAAAACTGACGTGAAAAAGTAATCGAAGTAGTTCAAAATCTGTTAAAAATTAAAAAAAACAACACAAAATCTTATGAAGCATTTCTGTTGTAAGAGTAATAATAATATTAATAATAATTTGCTTTATTCCAGAAACAGTTCTAGTGGTACAGTGTGGAATTTTCAGCACCTATCTACAATATTTGCATGTAATTTTATCAAACATTTAAAAGGAGTATTTCAAAATAAAAATATAAAGACAACAACAAAAACAAAACAAACACAAAAATAATAAAAAAACGAGAAAAAAAATACCAAGATGTAGAAAGGAAAATAAATATCTCAGTATTGGGTAGTGGAAGCTATGATGTGATTATGCATGGTGACAGTAAAGCTATAGTCATACAAGAAGTTGTGAAATGATATTTAAGAATGTTTATCGCCAAGATGATCAGTTAATTTGATTGAACAACACTAAACAATCATAAAATAACATTTCAGGGTGTTTTATTGACAGCTCTAATGCGGTGTTTGTGGTGGTAGTGTAAGTAATCCTGCATAATACAAAATTTTAAGATGGTGATATTGGCATTCACAACCAAGATTGTCAGTTAATATTGCCGAACAAAAAAAACAACAACCACAAAACTAATAATTACATGATGGTTAATGACAGGACAGTTTTGTAATACTCATAGTGCTAGTAGTAGGCAGGATTTGGTCATTGTGCTGTAGAACGTAATTCATTGATATTAGATAAGTCTATTTGATATAACATACAGTAAGTGATACAGTGTATAAATAATTGGATAACGTTTCCAGTTATTCAATGGGTGGAGGTGATCGGCAGGAAGCCCCACACTTAAGTTCCGTGCTTATTGACAATGACCAGTCAGCAAGGCGCATCTGCAATCTTGAAGGAGCTCATCCCTCAATCTGAAATTCGAACCCACGTCACCCAATTCTGCATTCAGAGAAGTTACCACTGCGCTGTTCACGCTTGTGATTCACCTCCTGTACGGGACTGTTTTGAATAGTCTAATTTGGCACTAGTTAGCGCCCAGTATCATGCGACCCACTGAGTTCTACCAGTCAAATTTGGAATGTGGTCAACATTCTAGGTGACTCACGCATGATACTAACTCATTACCAACTCGAGTTCAATCAAAACAAAATATGTTTCCAGTACAATTTATTGCTCATAATTTCATATATTAGTATATTCCCATGACTTTTTAACTTGCTTCATACAGTTTCTATCTAATACAACTAACTACTCATACATCTGGTATAGTTGTTGCGTCATCCCTACTACAATATATTGTAGATTAATTCAATAAAACATAGATAGATAGATAGATAAATAGATTCAGTCATTAACCTATCCCTTCATCTAATACATATCGCCTTTCCATACTTTCACTCTATCCTTCACCGCCAACTCCTACCTCCCTCCACCCCACGCCTCCATCTCGTTGCGTGATTACATACAAGTGCATGCATCGTAATTGCCTAGGAATGACGTAATACACGTTATGTATACATGGAAAATGGGATTGAAATACAAGAGAGAGAGACAGAGAGATTAAGGGTTAGGAAATCATGTGAATACACTGATTGATATATAAGATTATAGTATGAGCAATAATCAGTACTGCAAATAAACGTCATCCGGTTAGTAGTATTTATACTACTGTATCACTCACAGGAAAGAAACAACAGCAGGACACAGAAAGTACAACAAAGTGAAAAATCACACAACTAGATAAGCAGTGCTTCCTCTGGGAAAAGAGACATAGAACGACAACAGCAACAGCAGCAACGACAACAACAACAAACCAATGCATAACAATTAGCTAAAATCTCATCATTGAAATACACCCACGAGATAGAGTAATCGTTATTATTATGGCAAAGCCGGACAAGATTTATGTAGGTAGAAAAAAAACCCAAATGCAATTGACATTTAGATAAGTCATAAATCTTAAAATTGATTTCATATTCTTTCTAAATGAGTTTTATTCATCCATTATTCAGGTATTAGACGTGTTTTGTATTGGGTTGTCAGTTGTTAATTAGATATGTCTCACAGCTGTAATCTTCTTCTTTAGATGTTTCACTCTTCAGAGGCTTCTCCATCAACAGAAACGTGACTGCATATTCAACGCAGACCTTATCATGAGTAGTAAAAGTGTCAGAAGGAAGTTGAACTCCTGTAAGGGATTGTAGCTCACATTTTCTGAATTCTAAGGACTATCACAGCTTCATCAATTACAGGACGATAATGGCTCACTTCTACTATGTCAGCTTAAGTAAAACTAATGCACAATTATCATTATTATTGTTCCCTTGGGTTCCTAGTGGAACATAGGGCTTCAACTACACGTCTCAACTTGCTTCTGTCTTCTGCTGTACTTTTCATCTGCATCCATGTTAGTCCATACTGTTTCAACTCCTCTTCACACGATCTCCTCCATGTCACCCTTGCACTGACGTCCCACTCACTGCTTCCCTTTCGGGTTCCACTCGAGCACTGGCCTGACGCACGATGTCACCAAGCGGCCTCCTCAGCGAGTGTCCAATCCATCTCCATTTTCTCCTGCATATTTGTTGAGCGATTGGTTCTTGTTTTGTTTCTTCCCATAGTTTCTTGTTGGTGATTCTTTCCGGCCGGCCATCTGATCTTCAGTATAGAGCGACGAAGACAGTTGTTGATAAAGGTTTGCAACAGGCTGTTGGGAATATTCTTTGTGACACACTGGCCAAGTTTCTGATCCATCCGTATAGAAGAACTGACTGACTTGACGTTTGTACTGAAAATTCGAATTTTGTTGTTGATGTTGAGTGATGAAGACTTCCAGATTGGTTTCAGGTGGATGAATGTGTTTCTCGCCTTTCCGATTCTCGATTTGACATCCTCGTCCGTTCCTCCTGTAGTTGAGATAATGCTCCTTACCCAGATAAGTGAAAGAAGTGACCTCTTTCAAATCCCTCCCGTTGATGGTGATTGGCGCTGGATGTTGCTGCTGTTGTTGTTGTTGTTAGTTGGTTATTTTCATAACCTCCGTCTTGTCTATGTTCACCTGAAGTCCTGTCTTTGCTGCTTCTTCGACCAGTTTGTCGGTTTTCGCTTGTAAGTCTTCGATTTTGTGTGACATGAAACACAAGTCATCGGCAAAATCCAGGTCTTCTATGTGCTTCATGTTGGTACTACTGATATTTTTTCTGGCGTGTCTATCAGTGTAATAAATTATTTTCAAGATAGTTATATTTGATGGATTAGGAGTGAAACACTACTGGCAAAATCGAGTGAGTAGTATATTGTATTTGTTTCCCTTTTCTGTCCTCTTTTTGGTTAAAGTGAAAAAAACATTTCACTAGTTATTTTGGTTCCTGATGTATATGTGGTCTAGAAATACTAACAACAACAACAACAGGCATAGAACTGCCATTGGACACGTATCCTGCAACAAAGTAAGAAGTCTTGAATGCAATCAAGTTGCAGAAGTCTGCGAAGGCAGCAGGACTAGACTGGAATCAGTGAAATGTTATCCAGCGGTCACAACGGATATGCTGATGTCAGTGCTGCTGAATGTTTTGGAGTAAGGAAAAGTACCCTGCGACTTACCTGATTACGTGCAGATGAAGCGTCTAACGGGTCTTCGGCGGCAAGCATAGCACTACTGACCAATATGCATACAAGGACGATATTATTGAAATAATTATGATTGCAAACTTCATGGCAGGCGACACGAAATCTAATTTTTTTTAAAGAGAATTGTAACAAAAAGAAAAAAAGAGAATAACGGCAAGAAAACAAACGATCAGAAAATTATAAAGCATAATGTAAGGTATTTTTAAATCTGAATGAGTTCACAATTATTATGAGATTTTCAAATATTGGTTTTGTAGGGATTTCATCATGAGCTGACATCAGTTAGAGAACCACTGGAAAACCATCTGGGAGTACCGCACAGCTGTTTCGTCCTAGTTTGGGACTCTTCATCAGCACCCATCCACCACCTAGGTTTGAACCCAGGACCTCCTGGTTACAAGGCGAGCTCGTAGACCATTTAGTCACTGGGGCCCTATTCAGGCAGTTAACCTGGAGTTCTAGTGAGAAGCCGTGACCAGTAGGGTACAGCAAGTTGAAGATGAGACAGTAACTCATTGAAGAAGACATTACGAAATGTTCGCGCTATGTCGTGAATTGGCAGAAGTTAGAATTCGTGGACGTGCCATTTGGTCGGGTCCCAATGGCTCAATGGTCTGCCAGCTCGTCTTGTAACGAGAAGGTCCTGGGTTCGAACCCGGCAGTGTGGGAGCATACTGCTGAAGAGTCCCAAACTAGGACGAAACAGCTGTCTAGTACTGTCAGGTTTTCTAGTGGTTCTCTAACTGATGTCAGCTCATGATGAAATTCTATTATGAGATTAACCAATGGTCGTGCTCATTGTCAGAGTGTTGAATTTGAGTCTCCAGTGTGAAGAAGACTTGCGTGAACTGATTCAGACATGTGATTCTTGTAATATCGAAAGCAATGTAGTAGGAAATAAATCGAATATTACCTGTTTTATTATCTATTTCTACTTCAGGCTTTCTTGGTCGTCTTAAATATTGTTGATGTCTAAGGAAATCATTCATTTGGCTTATTATAAAGAGAAGTTGAAAATTTATGGCTTAACTCAACCTCTCCTCTTACAACTAGTTAATTCATGTGGTCAATCTACCCTTCTATATTGTTTCCTCTTATACTTTTCTGGGCTTCTCAAAAAGGACTGTATTATACTGCATAGGGCTTTGAAGGTGGTAAGCAGGATTAATGGTGTGGCTTTAAATCAACGAACTCGCTTATTTAATTCAATTTAGATTTTTCCCGTCGACTGATTGCACCTAAGTACCCGGTATCAGATTGACATATCCGCTGCTCTATATGCAGATGCTTCGACGATGTTTGGTCATGTAACCTGAAGCTAGTTGGTATATGGTGACTAGCAGTGGAATCCAGAATGTACATTTCGTCCGATTAAAGACTCCTCACCTGGATGTACCTGCATTTCTCTGTACGTAGCTCTCGTAGCCTAGTGGATAACGCTTTTGCGTATGAAAGTAAGGGCTCTGGGTTTGAGCCTCGGTAGGAACACCATGACTCACAGGTGAATGCAAGTACACTCAGTGATGAGTCCCGAATTGGACGAAATGCACATCCTGGATTCCATTGCTAGTCACGATCAACCAACCGACTTCAACTGACTGACACTGTGTTGGTGATTAACACTTCAATTCTTGCAAGTAATTTCGTCGAATAGTGAACATCATCTTTATTTTTATCTGTCCCCTTATATCTCTTCGGGTAGAACCAGAAGAAATTTCGTAAGAATTTAGGCTTGCAAGGCAAAATGCAAAAATCCAACCATTTCATTTTTAGTGTGGGTGAAAATAAACAGCAACTTATTCTTAGCACTATTACTACATATAAGATTTTCCCATTAGCTTCAGTTTCTGCTGTTTTATTATTTTCATCTCGGCTGAAGAGTTCCAAACTAAGGTGAAACAGCTGTCCAGTACACCCAGTTAGTTCACTCGTGGTTCTCTAACTGATGTCAGATGGTGACCAATCCTGTAGCCAATCAAATTCCTGCAAACTAACACTTGACAGTATCCTATTCTGTTTTCCATTCAGAATAATGCATTAATTATGCTTACCTTTCATTGTTACTTCAATAAACCAATTACATCCTGTAATCGTAACCAGTTAGCTGACATAGGGTCAGGCTGAAAAAGAGCTAGCGGCGGTCAAACCAAAACATGGCACCAGTCATTGAAATCTACAACAGTTAGTCTAAGCCAGCCAACTACGTATGAAGGTGTAGACTTCCTGACTGGTTGGGGTCCTCGGGACGGTAAAAACCAATGACGACTGGAAACAATCAGTGATATGGCTCAAAATTGTTCTCAATGGCTATAGCAGATGCATCCACTCCATGTGACTTATGATTTCCAATTAAACTGTTTTGTTCTTCGTTATTACTATTCCTTTGTATCACACCTCTATTTACTGTCTATATTATGCATTTCTTCTACTTTCTTCTCTTGCTTTGTGTGCTACATGGAGTGTGGCGACTTGAACTGCTGCACATTGGTGCAAAGTTCTATGTCGAATACAGACAGACAGACAGAATCGTAACCAGTCTTTTTTCATTCCTTAGCTTTTCGGCTGGGATATGTGGCTTTAAACTTAAGATATGAAGTTTCATTGACCAGTGGTGTTCCATTTTATGGGATAGCAATACTAGTCTGACGTCTTACCTCCCCCCCACCCCCTCCTCTCTTCCTGACTTACTATCAGGCTTAACGAGGTTAAGGAATGCATCGGCCGAGGTCCGAACGTGGGTGACATGTAGAGTAGGCGGGGATGCTACTTTTGAACCACTGCTGCGCCAAGATAATATGAGTTAGAATATCTGGGCATCTATCCCAGTACTGCTTGCATGCTAAGCCAGAGTGAGCTCTATCATAGTTGGGGGGTTGGGGTGTACCGCCACTTAAACCCTTGGAGCATCGTAACGCGTACTTATAGACATTTATACATAGTCTGCAATCCACTGGCATGTGTTCCACCAAAGTGAAGAATAAAGACTCTAGTAGATGATTGAATCGTGGCTCTGATCGAAAAGAAACTTAGATACATGACCCTTGCAAAATCGATGATACCGACATAGAAACCAAGTCTGAAGTTAAGTATCTTGGTTTACTTCTCTCTTCTGACATATCCTGGTCCCCCCATGTCTTGGCGATTTCTAAAAGAATATTTCGTCTGAATTTTTACATTAAGAAGTTGAGGCATTCAGGCATAACTCAACCACTCCTCCTCTTACAGTTTGTCAACTCGTGTATTTTACCTGTTCTTCTTTACTCTTCACCCTTATTCTTTCCTGGATTGCTTAAAAAGGACTATGTCATACTTCTTAGAACTCTGAAGACTGTCAGTAGGACGAGTGGTATCCCACCGAGCCATATCGTTGACATTGTCACTGATAGGCACTTGATGTCATGCACCAAATTTGCTTAAAGAATTTTGTCAGACTGTGAGCACCCACTTTACCCGCAGTTCCAACCTCCTCAGGTAAAATAAGAAGTATTTTCAGAGGACTTTATGCACGTACGTCTAAGTATAAAAATTCCACTAAACCATATTTAGCATGTACTTTATGTGAAAAAGATAGTGTTGGGTATGAACTAACTAACCTTCTTTGCACTACTAAATAAACCATTTCCTTTACCCTTAAAGCAGCATACTTTATTGTTATTATATTTCTTATATTTATAATCCTCTCAATTTTTTCGTTTTGTTTATTTTATTTTTCATAAGTGTGAACATAATTTTAAGCTGTATTATGACTGCTAATTTTGTATTTCCCCTCACTATACTATATCAACAGAACATTAGACCCAATAATCTATAACATGCTAAAGTTTCCAAACTCAATCAACAATACCGTCTGAAACAAACTCACTGTTATTATTATTATTATTATTATTATATCTAATAATTATGTCGTAAATGTGGACAAAATCCTCCGAATTATTTTGTTTTAATTTTTAATTTTATATGTATTTTGAGTAAATCAGATGCAAGTTATTGTGACAAATGCTGAGAATTCCATTCTGTATTCTAAGTAGCGCTGTTTTTGGAATAAAGTAAATTATTATTAATTATTATTATTATTACCGTTGATAATTAGTCTACCTGAAGATCCTCTCCAAAGAGTGAATACTTTTCAATAAAACATGATGGCAATACTTTCTTACCGTATATAAACAACACATTATACAAAATAAAGCAAAAATTATTATTATTATCTTCATCGCATAAGCCATTCTCTTAAAAAAAATAAATGAATTGTCTTCAAAAATCCAATAAGATGATATTGAAATGTATGCCCTAAAGGTAGATACACTTCCTTCATTACTTACTTACTGATAACTTTATTTCCTTGTAACAGACTGACTGAGTTTATGAAATCATGTGATTAATATTCATTTATATATGTATATATATACATAGGATGGATAAAGTGTGTCAGTGTTTACTCCGCCCATCCACATGTGACTCTGAATATGAATATGCCTATAATTCTGCCTCACAGTTATATATTTATATAGCTATAAGATCAAACTCCTACACTAATAGACATATAATAATAATAACTATTCGGTCGAATCTTGACGACAGTTCATTTGAATTATTTTGCTATCGAATTAAATTAACAAAGAAACTGTGTAACTGGCACAATCATCGTGTTTTCACTCTCCGTTGTCTGCAACAGAATGCATATCCTAAATCCGTAGCTATCGAGTCACCTGACAACTCCAGTAGGTCGAATAAAGCAGCTCAATATTCAGAAAGAAGACAATGCAATAAGTCCGACAGGGTGCTTAAACTAAACTCTAATCCTAAACACCGTAATTTCGAAAATACGTCTAATCATAAAACTCTAGATACTAACAGTTTGAACGGACATGAAGGCGTGATGTTAGCTGATGCATAGGAAATCCTGATTAATAAATAACAATGGATATGTATCACTAATAATTATTAATAATACTTGGTCAAATTCCTGACTGTCTATATCTTCCGATGGAGAGGTTAAGAAATGTTTTACAACTATTCACACACACACACACGCATGCACACTCTGTTTAAAGTATTTAACAAAGGTAGACCAATATTTGTAAGTCCGAGGTCAAATTTTGATCACAGCTCATACAATTTTGTTTATTATAGTTGTTGATACTTGTGTTTATGACTCATGATTGGACAAAGTTTTTAAAAACAAGTGATGTTCCTTTTTATATATAAACCTCTGTTATGTTAATTTCGATTAATTTCCCTGAAGAAGTTCGGACCAGATTGCCGAACACAGGAAACGTTGGAATTACTCATTTCAATCTCGCTGAGATTTTACAAATATAATTTTTTACAAATGTCTACTTCTCACTCGGCGCCCAAATATTTTAGAACTATTCTGTCAAATCTTGACGACAGTTCATTTGAATAATAATATAAGTTCAGATGTGATGCTCATGTGTAAAAAAAGCAAAGAACTAATAAAAATCATTTGCTGTTTGGGAAAAAAAACCCACCATTATTATTAAGCACCTGTTTGCCTGTTTAGTTTATTTTAAAAGTTTGATTTCTATAGGAAGACATTTTTAATCTCATATAATCAATCAGTCAATCAATCAATCAGTAAGGGAATTGCAAAAATAACTTCGACAAAGAGGTGACTGTCATGGCGTAGTAGCCTGGTCAACTGGACAATTGGCATTTTAAGCGATGGGTGTTAGTTAAGTTCGAGTCCCAGTCGGTACACTGTCTATCATTCAATAGGGATGCAGGTAGGTAAGTCTAGCTAACGAGTTCATGAAATTCACCGGTAGCGAACGCTTACCAAGTAACATGAAGTTTAGGATTGCATATAATTAATCTGCGGTAGAAGAGAGCTAACCAATTCTCTTTATTACTCTGTGTATTCTTTTCAGCAGGTTATAAAATCGATACCTAAGTTCCCTTGGGTTACAAGTGGAACATAGGGCTTCAAAAAAAACATCTCCACATTGCTCTGTTCTCTGTGGCCCTCTTCACTGATAACGCAATCGCCGCTTCTCATTCGGATTCCACTTGAGTCATGGCCTGCATTGTAAGCGATGTCATTCGATGGCCTCCTTAAAGTATGTCCATATTTGTTCAGCCATCGACTCTTGGTTGGTCTGTTGCCATAGATTTTGTTGCTTATGCTTCCTGGCCGGCTGGTCATTCAATCTTCAGTATGCAGCCAGCGAAGCCGGCAGCTGTTGATGTATATCCGTTGAAAATTGTTGGAAATACTTTTCGTGACACACAATTCAATTTTCTGACCCATATACAAGAACTGACTGACTGAACATCTCTGTTGAAAATCCGAATCTTGTTCTTTATGCTAGCTGGCTAGGTGAAGAAGATTTCCGAACTGGTTTCAGGTTGGTGGAGACCTATCTTGCCTTTCCGATTCTGAATGGCCTCCACATTTTCATCCGTTCCGCCAACCTGTGTTTGAAACAAACTTTCCTGGCTGGATTGGTGAAGGAATTAACTTCTGTCAAATCTCTCCCATCGATGGTGACTGGTGCTGTTGTTGTTAGTAGGTTATCTTCATCACCTCCATCCTCCCTATGTTCACCTAGAATCCTGTCTTCACTGACCCTCTTACCTGTAGGTTTTTCAGTTAGTGTAACATTAAACATAAGTTATCGGCAAAATCCAGATTGTCTAGAGTCTTCTTATCGGTCCGGTGAATTCCTAAAAAGAGATTATTGTCTCAAATACAGGAGGAACGGACGAAGGAGGATGTCAAATCGAGAATCAGGAAGGCGGGAAACACATTCATCAACCTGAAACCAATCTGGAAATCTTCGTCACTCCTCAGCATCAACAACAAAGTGATTCGGATTTTCAATACAAACGTCAAGTCAGTCAGTTCTTCTATACGGATGGATCAGAAACTTGGCGGGTCACAAAGAATATTTCCAACAGCCTCTTGCAGACCTTTATCAACAACTGTCTTTGTCGTTCTATACTGAAGATCAGATGGCCGCCGAAAAGAATCACCAACAAGAAACTATGGAAACAAACAAAACAAGAACAGATCGCCCAACAATTATGCAGGAGAAAGTGGAGATGGCTTGGACACTGGCTGAGGAGGCCACTGGGTGACATCGCGCGTCAGACCAACGCTCGAGTGGAACCCGAAAGGGAAGTGGCGAGTGGGACGTCAGTGGAAGGGTGACATGGAGGAAATGGTGTGAAGAGGAGTTGCAACAGTATGGACTAACATGGATGCAGGTGAAAAGTACAGCAGAAGACAGAAACAAGTGGAGGGGTGTAGTTGAAGCCCTACGTTCCACTAGGAACCGAAGGGAACAATAATAATATAATAAATGACCGGTACTGATGAATAAGGACGTAGCTCCGTGTCTAACACCTTGTGCAATGATGACATTTACAATAAAGAAGAGATTACTAAAACATTTCACTATTAATATCAGTAGCAATCAATCAATCACTCACTCAGTTAAAAGTCACAAGGTGAATTTCAACACTTACGGATTAGTTGGACTAAAGATGAAAAATGAAGATGCATTCGGTATTGGTTTTATTTTCTTTGTTGAACTCATCTCTGAATGACGTCGAGAGTTGGAGGCATCCTTTGCATCTTTATCATCAACACTTTCATCTATATGTTCATTGTTACCATTAGTTTCATCTCCAGGTTGGTTGTTTTCAGTTTCATTGGCTTTACGTTTCTCATCTACATGTATTTTTGATCAGTGTAAATAAAAGAGAAATAATAACAATAATAATAAGGGTGATAAATGTTATTTATGGAATTGGTCTTGCTAGTAAATTCGAAGACTTTCAGGTAAATCTGTCAATAAACTATACTGTCAGTAGATTATTATACTTAGTCGTCTTGTGATGTAGTGGGTTATGACTGAGAGGCTGGACGAGAATGGGGATCACAACAGGGTGAGAATCAGTAACCTGCGAACTACTAGTCCGGCGTCTGAATTTACAATCTATTACCAGTTCACTCATGCAGCTATCTGGAATTCGTCTTTCTCAGCTGAATTAATCTGAGCAGAGTGCTGATAAGCTCGGTTTAAAACGGGTGAAATGGCCGTCAGGTATTTCGACCATTTGAATCTGGCTGACTAGTAAGCATCAGCAATTAATGTCAGAGGTGTCAAACTACTCATCAACCATTCAGTAGTATATAGTACTGAGACGGCTGAGTTACTAGATTCAGTTGGCGACGATATCATCATTTTCTCATAAAGATGGTAGCATTTCGAGCCTCACCACATTCTTCTCTGATTTGAAATCAGTCAAATATATATGTCGTCAGCGTCGAATCTGAATTTCAGTGGAGATTTGGCAGCTGATATCCTAAACAGAAGAATATCCAGCTATTCAAAAAAGACCTTCCCTGCAGCAACACTAAGAGTGACATTCTCTAGCCGTCCAATACATCGAAACAAAGCTAAGGACAAACTCTGGCATGTGTTCGTGTGGAGATAGGTACATTGGGTCGTTGTATGCGCATTCTTTCAAAACGGGTTAGAGAACATTACCCAGCATGACTGAAAAAAGAAGGCACCGGTTCAATCAGAAGTGTCATTATTGAACATTTCTTGATCAACACCTCCCACAACATCTCAACTAATTCATTCAAAGTAATTTACAAAGTCAACAGAAACCTACCAAAAACAGTGTGTTTCCGACTTCTCTGTACTGCAGAAGCCCTAGCAATTTGCATTGAAAAGCCGGAGCTGTGTTTTCAAAAGAAATTAGTTCAACTTCTACAACAACCATAGTCCTAGTTCGGTGTGTTTCCTTAGCCTCCTTTTTTTAAGTTTTTTTGTTGAATTTTTTCGTTCGCTGTGTGTGTGATTCTCCTCTTTTTGTCTTCATTCAATTCATCCCATTTTTCCAGCTATAAGAGCAGTTATTTTAAGTTTGTTTCTATGCTTTTCCTGCTCACATTCGTTTTAAACAACCATTTTACAATTATATCCTAATCCTGTGTAATTTTGTTTCTAAGCCTCTAGTAAACCATTTCTAGTCAGAAATAATTGTCTCCTTTTTATTCGCCTTCATAATTATGTGGAATCAAGTAGAAATTGCATCTATGTAAAATTATGTATTACAAATGCGATTTTACAGCTTTTGAAAATTAAATCGCCGAAAAGATCACCATTTTTGCTGAACTTCGTGTTGTCTTCTTTCAAATATATATATGTCACACCTCATAAAGCGTGAAATAAAAAGAGACATATCGTGTTTACATGAACGTAGTTGTTAGATGATAGCCTAGTATATTTGTTCAGCTTTAAATGACTTCATAAAAATCTATGAGCTAAGTTCTCAATCTGATCGCTAAACATGTAAACACCAAATAACACTATTCTGTTGTACATTGAGAGTGTTTTTGAAGTTAGATACATTAGTCGATAGTCCCTTAAATGGTGCATACTTTGGTCTTATGCTGAATTTCCAGTCTTTTGGTTTTACTGGTTGACTGATTGGACTAAGATATTCAGGCCTCTGCCGAAACGTCGCCTACTAGTACGGATGCTTTGACGATGTCTTACGACTCACATGATTTCATTTGATGGATTTCAGGATGCGCACACTTCTTCAAGATCCATCGAATGAGGTCGTCTTAATCGTTAGATATCGTTGAACCATCTTTAACCGGGACTAGCGTGTCAACATAAGTTGGACATTTCTGTTCAGGCAATCAAGAGCTAAAATAAGTGACTTAGATAAATAATAGCTGACACTTGTCAGATAAGAGGCGGTTCTCATGTCTCAGAGACTAAGTAGACAACGCCTTGGCATTCGCAACAATGGGTGCATGGTTCAAATCTCAGTGAGTCCTACGGGTACATCCACAGATGACTAGTTCCAAACAGTTCGACATGCATAACAGATACAGTGTTTGTAATTCTCTGATCTTTCGGAAACACAGAAATTTATTTGTAACCACAGTAAATTATTGATAAAGTTTCTGACACTGTCAATAATTAACTCTATTTTTTGAATCTGATTTTCATTGAGATTCTGGGTCGGCTATAAAGATTAGTGCAAACACCACATGTAGTACACTGCATACACAACTGGCATATCGTGTTTTTGCCATAATCTGATAGCACCAAATACTCATCATTGATAAGATACAAACATTGGAAAACGCGTTCGCGAACACTACCCAGCCTGGCTAGTAAAAGGAGACCGAAAACGTGGATACAGTTCAGTGACAGAGCATCTGGTCAACTCAGGACATTCAGCGCCTTTCGAAAAATCCTTCAAAGTAATATACAAGATTCAATCAAACCTATCAAAGGGAGTCAAATCAAGACATCTGGGCACAGCTGAGGCGCTAGCTATCCAAAAGCTCAAACCCACGCTTTGTATCCAAAAGAATTACGTCCAGCCCCTGTCCCTGCCATGGCCATCATAAACAGGTAATGACAATCTCATCGCCCTTCTTATCTAAACTTCCTGTTTATTCATGTTATTTTAAGTTTTTCTTAATCCCTGTCTACACTACCATATTCCCATATCCACTCTTCCTGTTTATTTTGTCATTTTACTATTTCTACATATTTAATCCCTGATTGCATAAACAATTATTCATCATATTAGCTTTTTATCCAAACATCCTGTATATTTTGTTGTTTCTACATTTCTAACCCCCATTTGCACAATGTCAATCTTCTTAGTTATTATAATGCTACTTTATTTGAGTTTTATGCGCCCCCCTGTTTATTATGGCACTCTAATTCCTAATTGTAATTTTTATTAATTTGACCCTTAACCGGAAATTATTCTGGAACTTTTCCATCCATTTGATATAAATACATTGGAAATTAAAAATTAATCAAGTAGGTTTTTTTATAGTCTCACCTCTGTCGAACATGGATCGGTCAATTTCAGTGTCTTCATTGATTGGATCCAGGCTACACGAAATCAAAGACAAAAAAAGAATGTTATTAGAAACGGTCTGTTAAAAACCATAATGAAAAAAAGATACGCTTTAGTTGAACAAGCATTTGCTTACACCTCTGAAATCCTTTACATGATGATGATAAAAAGGGAATAAATGCTTTAAACAGTGCCATCGCAAGGCATCTCCTCCACACGGTCAGTCATGAGGTGGACGCCGAAAAGTCGTTCAAAATTATCAGTAGGCAAAAGAGCTCAATTCTCCTTAAGTTTGCAGAAGCCATTTCCATCAAGCACCTGAAACCTGATTTATGCGTCCAGAAAGAAGCGGTTATCAATCTTTCTTTGCACTGCCTGGTAACTGGGTATTTTCATCTCTCTTTCATCCGAATGCGAAATGCTGAAAAGTTTTCATTGTGTATGATTATTACTGTTCGGAATAATGTTTAATATTACATATATATATATATGTATATATTATTAGTGTATGCGTATATTGATCGATTGATTTTTGTTTAAAATGAACTCTGTTCAAGTATGTTAAAATTGTTTTTGTAGATACATTTAATAATGTCTTTGGCCTGTAATCAGCTGACGAGAAGGCAACGAAATAAAAGATGGTACCATTTTATTCTGCTAAAACTGTAGTTCTTGCTTTGTTCAAATATGATAAAGAGCATGTACTAATCTCTTGATAGCATGCCAATAATAAGACAAAGATTTCTCTAGTCAAAGAGAGAGAAAGAGAGGGACAGATGTTCAAGCCTATAAAATTCTTCAGATATGCTTTGATCATATCACATTTCATTGGTAACTAGGCTATGGTCAGAATCATTTATAAAATCGTCAATGTAGATGCCATGCCGACTGAATTCTGTCAGTCAAGCTTGCAATACAGTCATTAGTGTCAAAGAGATTCATCACCGCAGTGTACTTTTTTGAATTATTATATTAGACCTCTAGGAGCAAAGAGCATTCCCATCGACAACTTCCTCATTTAGGTTCTACAGTTATGCATAACAATGAAAATTGAAATCATCATCCAGAAAAAGCAATTCAGAAATTACAAAGAACGTCTAATATCGACAAGAAGCACTTCATATCATCGAGTGGAATCCAAATTGTCTGAATAGTCTGAGTGATGGACTAAGAAACGAAATTTGACCTGGTTACAACATCTCCTCCCCACCCCATGAAATGACAAAATCAACACAGATATGGTAGCTTGATGGATTTGCGCACAAAAAGGCAGTTGAATAAGATTATAAGTCCACTGGCGGAAGAACTCAGTGATAATGGCACACAGATTTTCAAGTCTTCAGTGTTACAGATGTACCTTTTTATTCAAAGTTAATAAATAGGAAACTTAAAGCAGGTAACGCTTCCTGTTGACTAGGTTATTTTAACACGTAATAACTTAGTGTTAATTATGTTAGATGTCTAATTCATGTGAAGAAAATAATGCTAACATGTTAAAATTAAAGAATAATAATAATGATAATAATCCGGATTAAAATTGTCGAAAACAGAAAACTAATTATTATTATTCTAACCTAGATGTTTTTTTTTTCATTAAGTCTAAAGAAAAAAACGTATGTTCCTGTAAGGGGTAGCGAGAAGATAGAAATACATTGCGCCAAAAATGAAGGCTTTAGAAGATTTAGACTCCATGGACGATTTACGCCCTAATGTCACACACAGACTTAAAAATCTACAGGTGGTGAAAAGCAACAAGTCGGCAGAGAAAGGAGACAGTGGAGACAGGAGATTCAGGTGAACAGACAGAAGATAGAGTTGATGAAGATGTTTGACCCATATGAAATTGGTGGCATGGCTTTAGGAGACTATCGATGGTGGCTTTTCGGCTTCCGTCATTTTCAGTGCACACAGAGTGAAGAGGAAGTGAAGAGCCATCAAGTAGAGGAGTTGCATTGGTAGAAGGAAGGCAAGATAATAGAGATGAAGATGGAGACAAGGATGAGTGAGGATTAGAGAGGTTTCGCGTGCACTTCGGATTGTGAGGGCGATTGTTACTTCCCGGCTCCCCACACCGTGGAAGTTGGTTGCGTGACCTCAGAGCCCAGGGGACAACTGCTTGAGGCCGGTCACACACGGCCTGTTTTTGTTTGTTCTGTTTCATTTGGTATGCCTCAGTAGCATATTTATCACTTCTGTCCTGTGACACGGCAGCAGGAAGCGCGGTCGTTGTTAATCCGGGCCCCGACCGATCCGGCATGATATTTTGTGATTTATTTTGAGTCATAGGATTGGGTTGGGCAACTGCTTTTAGTCTAACCGCTATCCAAACAACCTTTCTGGCATGGTAGGACCTACAGGAACATAATTTCCAGCCAGTATAGCTTGTTGGGTCATCGCGGTGTTCAAGCCCGACCACCACGTCAAGGTAGCAGCTTTCGGTTTGACCAGCAACAAACAACCACTATCAGCAAGAGAAATCCAAAGGAGGTTGACTCTTTCACTTATCAGCATGCTTTCAACTACAAGCCTCATGGATGATCATGTCAGTCAAAAGCAGAGAGGGAAAGGCGAGATAGACGCTTATTAGTCTTAAATCAGTCTGGAGACCTACTACACTCGGTATAAGAAGGTGGATTAGGATTTTCCACACTCATGTCAAGTTAGTCACTGCTTCTAGATGGTTCAGGGATTTTGAATATCACGAAAGCATATCGAACAGGCTTTTATCAACAGCCACCTTCTCCCTATACTGAATATCAGATGTCCATCTGGAAAGAAAACGCAACAAGGAATACTGGCAGTGACCTAACCAAGAACCTACCACCTACCAAACATGCAGAAGGAAATGGAGATGTATTGGACATGCATTGAGGAAAGTGTTAAGTAACACCATACCCTAGGCATGCCCTCCAGTGTGGTCCGTACAGAAGGCGACGAGTTGGGCTTGGGTCTGAGATCGACATGGAGGAAACCGTGAGATGGGAGAGGCGAAAGCTTATGGGCAATCATGAGCCCAGTTAACGAGGACTTCAGAGAGTAGGGTGAAATGGAGATATTTTTTGAAGCCATATGTCTCACTAAGATCCTAAGGAAATAATCATACTGATAATGATTTTGTTAGCAGAAACTATTGAAAATAACGAAACTGGTCATTTTAAACGAAGCAAGGAAGGAAAATATTTGAAAGATAAACACAACTCTTTCGTTGCCTTATTTCATAAGTCTTCATCAACTGAAAACAGGGAAAAATGACACATTACATTTTATGTTAACGTACATGACATACTTCGAATATTTAACGATACTAAGAACACAAATGGAACAAGAGGTAGGGATAGAAGATTATTATTAAACGAACGACCAGAATTACTATTATTATAATATTATTATTCCCTTGGATTCAGAGTGGGACGAAGAGCTTCAACAACACGTCTCCACTTTCTTATATTTTCTGCCATCCTCTTCAGCTGGGTCCACGATTTACCATAATCTCTCATCTCCTCCTCCTCCCCAGCACACGATCTCCTCTATGTCACCCTTAATTTGACGACCCAGTCGTCGCTCCCCATTGGGATTCCATTCGAGCAATATCCTGCATTCCGTACGATGTCAATCGACGGCCTCCTCATTGTATGTCTGATCCATCTGCATTTTCACCTACATATTTGTTGAGCGATCGTCTCTTCAGTGGTTTGTTCCCAGCCATAATTTCTTGTTGATAATTCTTTCTGGCTGACTATTTGATCTTCAATATGAATCTAGTCGATAAAAGTCCATAACCTGTTGAAAGTGCTTTTCGTGACACGTAGTGCAAGTTTCTGACGCATATACAAGAACTGACTGACTGAACACCTGTGTTGAAAATCCGAATCTTGTTCTTTATGCTACCTGGCTGGGTGCAGAAGATCTCCAAACTGGTTTCAGGTTGATTAAGGTGTATCTTGCCTTTCCAATTCTGGCTGGCTTTCACACCTTCATCCGTTCCGCCGGCCTGTGTTTGGAACAATGTTTCTTGGCTGGATTAGTGAAGGAAGTAACCTCTGTCAAATCTGTCCGGTTGATGATGACTGGTGCTAGTTGTTGTCGCTGTTGCTGTTGGTACGTTATCTTCATCCCCTCCGTCCTCCCTATGTTCACCTAGAGTCCTGTCTTCACTGCCTCCCTCTTCTACCAGCATGTTGGTTCTCGCCTGTATGCCTCCGACTTTGTGTGCATTAGATATAAATCATCCACACACGAAATCCAGATCTTCTAGAGTTTTTTTATCGGTGGTCCAACGCATTTCCCTCTTCTCGCCTCCTTCCATGTGCGGTGTTCCGTATAATCCAGTCAGTCCACCACAATTAAGAATATCATTGGTAATAATACGCAGGCAGCCTTGTGTGTTACTCCTGTATTCACATAATCTAATAAGAGCTTTGAGAGGATGATGCAATGAGTGTGTGAAATCACTCAAGCCATCAAAATAATCATAATCAGTATAATGTGATAACTTTGGTGGATTCCCTATTTTTTTTGCCGAAGCCATTACTAAATCAGAGTTTCAACCCAACAACCTATGTGATTAACCTTAAACTAGATCTGTTCTTGTTGTGTAATAATAATTCTTTTTTGTAACCTGATAATCTTTACGCAGTCTGCAGGATTTTCACTTCTAATCTACTTAATTGTTTGTTGTATAACAACAGTTTCGTGAGTACTCCTACCTATCTTATGTTTTTTTTAACTCATAAATTTTCAGTCATATAACAGGTGAATTTACTCAGATATAAGAAGTGGATTTAGACAGAGTGTGGTAAAGTTCTTTTTTTTTCCTTCACGTTCCCCAGTGGAACATAGGGCTTCAACCTAGTGGCTTGGAGTTTCTGTAGCAGTGTTTATTTTTACAGGATGGGATTGCTAGCCTCATGCCCAACCTTTCCTCTTCACCAGCATTATTTCTGGCTTAGCGAGGTAAAGGAGTGCGTCTGTGGCCGGGGATCGAACCCCGGACCATGTGCACGGTCGGCGAGCGTCCTAACCGCTATGCCACTAC